GGGGGGGGGGGGGGGGTTTGGGGTGATAGAGAAGCTTCGGGATTTAAGATGTCACAGCAATCGACTACAGGTTTTGGGACGACAAGACTCAACGGATTCTTTTCTGCAGAAGCCGAAGTCTTGGATTAAAGCGCTCGGGGGTGAGGGCCTAGGGCTGGCACGGCGCAATCACGGCCACATCACGCCTGTGAAGCCCTCAACGATTCCCAACGCCCTGAAACCCCGGAATCCCACAGTCAAGATCCAACAGTTCCATAGCCCGGGAACTCAACATCTCCGAAACGCCACGAAGGAGTCACAGACCTTCGAGTTGAAGCCGTCGGAGGCTCCAAAGGAGAAGCCTTTTGGGCAGCACTCTTTCATGTAGGGATTGCCGTGACCCTTAGTAACCTACCCACGGTTCAGGGTTTAGGGTCATGTAGGGATTACCGTGACCCTTAGTAACCTACCTGTTGAAGGACTTGTGTAAGGAGATTAGAAGAAGGATGCTTAAAAGCGGAGGGTTTACAGGGTCCATGGAGGGTTTAAGGTACCGTGGCCTCAATAATGAGAACAGGGCTTTCAGGATTCGAAGAGGTCACGAAACAGTGCAAGAGCCTCCTGAGAAACACCAAGTCCTAAACCCTAGACCCAGCCTGCAAACCGTAGAAACCCCTGTGAACACTTGTGGAAATCCCGATTTGTTTCCGCATACAGGCCTCCTGAGTCCGAAGCCCGCAGCCCGGAACCCCTTAACCCCTAATCCCTCAACCCTTAAACCCCTAAACCCCGTAGCCCCTTAACCCTTGATGCCTAAAGGCTTAGACCGCCAAACCATGCTAAACCCCTAAACCCTAATCTCTTCACCCGAAGAGTCGGGAAACCCGAGGCCGGTGCCTTCCCTGCTGCGCGGCTTCTCTGCCCCGGTTAACCTCGAGCTCTTCGGCTCTTTTGCGGAGGGGGGGTGGAGGAGTTTCGGGTTAGAGTTTGGGGGTTAGGGGGAGTTTCGGGTTGCCAGGCTTTGGTGCTGGAGGTTTAGGGATTTGGGAACGAACCCCTAAACATCCCTACATCCTAAACCCTCTAAGGCCCGAGTCGCAGAGGAACTCGGGCATGGACCAGGGGTAGTTTGCGCAGAGACGTCTGAGGGTCAAGGCCCCATGTGCCAGACCTCAGGGAGTCGTAGCACGTGTCCTGCACGTTCCAAGAGACCGGCCAAATGATAGTCTGCTATGAGGTTTTGGAGATTATCATTTTGGATACTGATTCCCGGAAACGTTGAACCTATACTCACCATATTCCCCCCAAGTACTGCTACTGTGTCGTTTGGCATCTGGATCTCAAGCACCGCGCAAGCCAGCAGATCTGAACACGATGACCGGAGGCAAGGCACCCAAGCACAAACTCCTCAGAAGCCGGAAGCAATCCCTAGACAATGAGAACTTGACATCCCAAACACCCCAAGAGCCTGATGAAGATCTCAGCGCAACACCGAAGACCCTTCATCCTCCGGAGTCCATGAGGTATGACTACAACGACACGAGCCTTTCCCTGCTGGCGGGCTTCGACACCGATGCTTTCAACCGATGGGAGGTGCTTCCCGCGGGAGCACAGGGCAGCGGGTTACGGAGTACTGCCAGGGGCCTTTTAGATGCGCCTTCCTTGTTCCGGGCGTTTTGGTTTTGTGTTCTGGAAGAGGCACGCAGATTCCAAGACCCAAGCCATCACCCTAGACCTGATCCCCCCCAAAACCCAACGACCCTGAAGCCCCAAGACTACGACCCCAAGCCCCAAGACCAGAACCCTAGACCCTAAGCAACCTGAACCATGAACCTTGAGGCCCTGAAGCTTCGAGCTCGAGACGAAACGGCAAAAATCCCCAACCCCCCCCAAAGCCGAGAACCCGAGAGAACCCTGGCAGAAATTCATAGAAATCCTCGAGGAACCCTGACAAACTTTAAACTCCCCATACAAAAAAAGGGGTGGCAAAAAAAGATCTGAAGCTCCAGGCGACCCAGCGCCTGGGCACCAAGGCCAGGGATCGGGAGAGCTCCAAACAGAGCTGGGCCTTCTCGGCTTCGAGGGCTTCCGGGGGGCTCGGGAGCTGTAGAGGGTTTCGCTCGGTTGGAGTTTTTGGGTTTCGGATCTGAGGCGTTTTGATTCTAACCTGCACCCGAAACCTTAAACCCTCAACCCTAAGCCAGAGACTCCGGTACTGGGCCCCTGGCCTGAAAACTCATCGATCCCGGCCAGGGGTTCAGAGTTGAGGGCTACCGATCATCGACCTAAGGCCCTTCACGCAAGCCATAGCCGTAGTCCGCTGACCCCATCAGCAGAGCTTGCCTGCTCGCTTCAATCGTGTGAGCGTCTCTCTCTCTCTCTCTCTCTCTCTCTCTCTCTCTCTGTCATATACATACACACACAGAGAGATCTTTCTACTTATTTAGTTTGTATATGTACAACATGGGTGAGCAGAGGAACGCGCTCCTGTTTCTTTGCCCGTTGGTCCATTCATCCATTCCGTTCCTTGCGTCAGCTCTCGCCATGGCCCCAACGCTTTCGAGGCCTCAGACTGAACCCCGAAGCCTTCCGAACCCGAGGTCCTTGTAAGGAACCCTAAGCCCTAAGGCCTAAAAGCCCTAAACCCTCCATCCCTGCCCTTCTCAAGAGGCGGTGCTGGATGCCCTGGCAGCTGAAGACCTGGAGTCCTTCAGGCTCTTGACGGAAGATCCCCAAACCCCTAAAGCCCTAAGAACCCTCCAGCACGTAAGTAACCCCTGTAGGCTCCTGAAGACCCAACACGACCCTCAAACCGTAAACCCTGGGCTTACCAACAAGGCTGCAGGGTTGAAAGGTCTGAGAGAGTTTTAGGGCTCTGGACGAAGCTCCAAAGTCCACTTTATCTAGCAACCTTCATACAGTAACCCTTGGAGGAGCCACGTGTTAGTAAACCTTGGGTAGCGGTTGTAGTAGCCGTTCCAGGAATGCTTCTAGTAACACTTATAGTAAGTAATACTTACACCACGCATTATATAGTAAGCCTTCTGCCCACCCTAAACCCTAAACCCCTTATATTGCCCAAGAGTCGAGGATTCCGTGCCTTTGAAAGCGCCAGGCCAGATGCCACCTTCATGGACGCCATGCGGAACACGCTGGCAGACCGAGCAACCGAGGACCTGTCTCTGTGCCTCGGGGAGAGATTTTGGCATAATATACCGTAAGAGAATAAAGTATTACATGATTATAACATCATGTAATTAATATCATATAATACTCAGGGGGGGCCTCGGCGAGTTGAGCTCCGTGTCAGTGGGAGATGTTCGCAACCGAGGCTGGCGTATTCCCTGATCCTGCCGGCAGAGTCCACGCTGATGCAGATCGCCACGCCGCCGATCGACCCGACGAAGCTGCACAACGCTCGGAACCACGTCCGAAACGTCATCGCCAAAGAGCTGGACGCAGAGATCCGGGAGCGCTACGCCGAAGTCACGCCCAAGGACGACGAGCCCTATGCAGGGAGCTCAGCTACGCCGAAGCCCTTGTTCTGTTCCGAGACTTGCTTTGAAGGCGTAGCGATGCATGAATGGCGTAAGGTTGAGGCCACCGTAGGCATTTAAAGATGCTCGAGAGTACTGTCTGTTGTGTGCTTGAGTGGGGAAAACGTTTGTGTCTGAGATTCAGATGACAGTCTGCCCTATGCAGTCAGCTTGGGCGGATGTGGCTTTTTGTGCTCCTACTGCTTGGCAGTTACTCATCAAACGCACATGGCGAGCTTGCCATGGTCCATGTTCTTACTGGCATTTAGCAGGTGCATGTCGCGGAAAGCTTTGACAGAATCTCCATGGCGTCCCTTCAGCTAGAAAGCCCTCAGATGGATCTATGACATATATCTACCTTACACGATATGAATAAGCATATATACCTGTATGTATGTATAGATGTATAAATATATATATATAAGTATATATATATATATTTATTCTTTAGGATGGAGAAGGCTTAGCCGGCCTTGCAGGTTGTGGACGGCCCAAGCGCCAGCAAGAGGCGGCTCCGCAATGTGCTGCTAGGGTATCTCTCCACTTCAGGCGGGGGCCGCGGGCCCAAAGGGAGCTTACCCCAAGGTTGGTCACCCCTTTGCGGGACGTCCTGTTAAGGGTTTTGCTGGTGAACAGTTGCTGACGACTGTCGTGGGAAGAGAGACAATGTGACTAGGCCTCGCGACCAGAGCCCGCCCCAGGCGACGCTGCTGCCGCAGAGCTTTGCGGGAAGCACTTCACCACCGTCACGGGGCTGCAGAGATCATCACCCAACAGCCCCCCCAGAGTTGAGATGGTCGCTTCTCACATCGCCGCTACGTGCTCGATGGCTAGGAGTAAAGATACGCTGAAGCAGTTGTGTGGTCTTGCAAGGCGGCCTCATCAACCCGAAAACCCTCCCTAAGTTGAGCCTCCCACGCTTCAAGTCCGGCAGCCAGAAAGACCGGTATAATCGGGTTGTGGAGATACATCCCGAGTCATGGGATTCGCCAGCAGCTTTCTGAATTAAGGCCAAGGGGATGACGGACAAGTTGGCAGCCTTCTCCTGCCTCACTGGCGTGCCGGACAGCCCTGAGGCCGTTCCGGGGCGCACGGACGGGGGCGCACAGGAGATCAGGAGAACGCAGGACATGCAAGAGAGTGAAGATTAGCTTAGATTAGACTAGATTAGTTTGCAACATGATACGTTGCATTTCATCATGCTATATGTTACCGCAATAGTCCACAATATATTCAGTTCAATATTGTCAGTACCCCCTTACAGTCACATAGTTATGCTTTTATGGTGTACCGCAAAAAACATGTTCGAACTATTCGGGCCCAAACAAAACACCGTGGCAAGGGACAACGGACAAAGCCCGAAACTTCAAATGCCAAAGGAGAAGCTTCACTCCGATCTGATAGCACCTAGGGTTTGAACTTGTTTCGTATCTGTTTCTATCCAGCTATCTACACATCTATCTGCCTATCTACATCTATACGTCTATCTATGTATCGATATCTATATCTTTATCTATATTTATATCTATATCTAAGCCTGGTATATGTATGTGTATGTAGAGGTATGCGCACGTGTGCCTGTACAGTGTATACACATCCATTTTTTATGTACTTGCGTACAGACATTTGTAGCTGTATTCATGTTTCTCTCACATTGAGGCCAAGGCAGCCGTCGAGAAGTTCCTGGCCGACGCCAAGGGCGACGCCAATGTCATCGACAAGCTCCTCGCACATGAAAGACCAAACGAGAGAAACAGAACTAGGGGAGGGTCGGTGCGTGAGTTCGGACTGGCTGTGTGCAAATTTGTGGTTTAGGGGATCAATGGTTTTTGGGCTTAGCAATAGGGGTGAACGGATGGGTTGCGGGTTTAGGATCTGCTGCTTCCGCGAGGCCTGAGGGCAGCACATTAAGGAGCTCCAAAATCCAGCTGGCCGCAGCCCTTGAAAACCCTTGTGCTTATTCCAAGAAGCTTTGAAGTGCCACAATATGCTAGAATATACTATACATGCATTATGTATGTATATTAGATAGAGCAGTTCATACTCAACTATTCTGAGCCTCAGGTGGTTCGCCTCGCAGGCCCGGGCCGATGTGGACGACCTCTTGCCGCGCGTGCGCAAGCTGATGGAGCACCCGGAGCCCCGCGGCTCTCAAGGATCCGGCTTACCATCTACAATGACCTGTGTGTAATGAAAAAATATTTAAAACGTATATAGTATACAGCGCAGTGCGCGTGGCAGAATCCCGAGGCGTTTTTCCAACCCCGTCCAGCTTTGAAAGCGCGCGCCTGTCTCGAGTTCCCAAGCACCCCGTAGCCAGAGACGAACAGAGACCTGCAACCTAAACCCTACACCCTAAACCCTAAACAGAGCCCATTAAAAAAAAAACCCTAAACCCTAAACAGAGGTTCTCTTTGAAGAACCCAAATCGGCTCCGCTCCCTCGTCAGCGTCTTCCTGACCACGCCGCAGCCGCCCGGAGCATGGTGCAATGGGGAAATTGTCAAATTGAAAGGGTGTGCTGAGCCTCGTAGACGGCCTTGAAGACGATCAACTCCTAGTTTAAGATCAGCACTTTAAGGGATTCCGAACTCAGCACAACTTGACAATACTAGTATGCCTGCACTCTGCATTAGATAGGTCGCCACGGGGCATCCTCTAGCTGTCGCAGCTTCGCCAAGGTGGAGTATGAGTTGAGCGCGAGCTGTTACCACGGCACCAACAACTACTGCCACTGCTACGACGACTACTATTGCTACTACTGCTACAGCTTTTACTGCTGCTACTACCACTACTATCATCATTACTGCTACTGCTGCTGCTGCTTCTGCTGCTGCTCCTGCTCCTGCAACTACTACTACTGCTCATAGGACCGACCATGACTACGACGACAACGACGGTTTCTGCTACCCTCGACTGTCCTCCAAAAGCCGAGGTTTCATGCACCGGATGGCTCGGGCTACGACTTTGCATTGGCTGCTCGGAATTGTGGGGAATCTTAGGGAGGCCTGGAACACTCCAAGCTTACTCCGAGCCGAAGCCCCGAAGTTTCAATTCCCTCGAGGAGATAGGCCCTTCAACCCTAAGCCCTCGACGAAGCTCTTCCAACCCTGCGCCAAGGAGATGATCCCCAAGGTCGATGCCCTGAACCCGCAGGACGGGACGCTTTCTGGAGTTTGACCTTTCAGGGCCCCTGGCGGTCGGAGATTTGCAGTTTTAGCTTGGGTCCTCCTCACCATCAGGCTCAGCGGCATCAGTGTTCATGTTTGGCGTCCTTGTCGGCATGGTCTTGGTTTGGGTGTGGTTGAGGTTACAGTTTGTGGCTGTTAGCGGTTGTGGTTGTGTAGGCTGCGTTAGTTTCGTTGTGGTTTTGATGGTCGTGGTCGTGGTTGTGGTGGTTGTTCTGGCGGTGGTTGTTGTTGTTGCTGCTGCTGTTGTTGTTGCGGTCCTTGAGGGCCCCGCCGCGAGCTGAGATGTTCGAAGCAACGTTGCTACACGCTTGAAGCTCTGATGTTTCTAGACAAATCTAGTAGAACCCAAAGCCTTTGCCCAAAACCCGAAGCTTCAAACTCTCAATTCCCTCTTCTTCGCAGGTCAGCGCGCGAATGGCCAACATGGCCTTCAGGACCGGGCCTTTGGAAGTTTGGGGTGTGCTAAGCGTGCTACCACCGAGACCAGGATTACTAGTGCAGCGGCGATGACTGCTCTGCTTGCTGTTGGCACCCCAGGCAATGACCACATATGACCACATTGAGGGCCACAGAAAGTGCGATTGTGGCAAATGCTCCAACATGGGATTTGCACGAAGCAGGAGGTCTTCAATCTAGACCCTAGGCCAATTGAGCCTAAACCCTGAACCGACAGGACGCTGAACCCTAAACCGACAGGACCCTGAACCTAAACCGTGCTTGGTACCATAATGGCCTGAGCCATCGGTGCTGGAAGGATTTGGCGACGGCTCGATGAGAAGCGTCAGGCAGGCTGAGCTGAGGTTTTTCCAGAAGTAGTATTACATTCTACTATGTTACACTATGTTATGTTATATAATCATTATTATTGTTCTTCTTCTTATTATAGTATAGTATAGTATAGTATAGTATAGTATAGTATCGTATCGTATAGAGTAGTGTAGTGTATTATACTGCTCCGTCCGAGCTGCAGGAGATGATCCTGGAACGGCTAGGGAAGCTGATGGAGGCACCAGCTTGCGTCGTGGTCGGTGTGCTGTGCATCGTGATACTCCGTATTGGGATTCTAAAGGTTATTCGGCCTGTATTGCTTGTGATTTTTGGGTGCTTCCGCGTGATCCCTGTCACGGCTGCTGGTGTTGCCATTCGTGCCGTTCTCCTGCTGTGCATCCTTTTGTTTCCTGTCTTCTTGCGAGTTGTAAACTGTTGATGAGCTGGTGGCGAAGCAACACCCGGCCCAGTGATTTACGAGGAAGCCCCCCACGCAAGCCAAAAAGGCAAGGCTGCGTCGTTGAGTTCCCACGTGAGTAGGACTCGTGCGGTCTGCGGTGGCTGTCTGTTTGGTCTCAGTGTGGCTGGGGCGTTATACTACAGTATAAATATGACGTAGCATGAGACCATATAGTATAATATATAACATGGTATAGCATAATTATGCAATAACATGTTATACAATGACATGTTATATACTTTGTAGAACATGGGATGAAACTCATCGGCGAGTTTGCTAAGACGTCGCCAGGCACCAGGCTCAGGATTCAGAGGAGGCGGTGTAGGAGCTTCTACAGGTTTTTATAGAAAAAGCTAGGCATAGAGCACAAAGAAACTAGGTTTAGAGTTACTAGGGTTTAAGGGTTTAGGGTTTAGGGGCAGTCTTAGCAAAGCTCCAAGGTATGCACACAGATACCCTGGTAAGATCCCCTTGTCATCCTTGCCCGGGCCTTCTGACTAACCTCTCCCCGCAACCCAGCACACCCCACATCCCACAAGATTTCCCCAAGACATCCCCCAGCTCCCGAAACTGCGGCTTCCGCCGAAGTCGCGAAAAGAAGACTCCGCAGGCGGGGCTCTCAAAGGATGCCGCCGAGATTGTGTCCAAGATGCGAGCGTGAGGCCGGAAGAGCTCGTGTTTGGCAGCCAGAAGTAGCGCAGTAGCAGCAGACTGCAGCAGCAGCAGCAGCAGCAGCAGTGGAAGTAGAAGTAGAGGAGTAAAGAAGTAGAGTAAGTAGAAAAGTGGAGAAGTAGAGAAGTAGTAGTAGAAGCAGAAGTAGCAGTTTCTTGTCGTAGCAGGCAGGTAGGTAGGTGGGCGGGCAGGTAAGGATGTCAATGTAGGAGGTAGTATGATCAGTTGACGGTGGTCGTAGTGGTAGCAGTGTGGTTGGATAAATGGTTGTCGTCGTTTGTCGAGAGGGATAGGTGGCGGTAAGTAAGCTGTGGCACCTAGCCAGCAAGTGGCAGTGGAGGGTTCTAGCTTCTGCTCGCATCCCTTCCCCTAATCTTCAAGGGTCTCCAAGGTCCATAGCACATCACACAGACCGTGTGACAGGTGCCACCTCGAATTCATCCGCTGAGGGTGTGGCGTTGAGCATAGACATGTTTTGAGACGGCTTAGTCAGGCTTAGTCGTGGTTTTGTGACGGACATATCAGACTTTGGTTGAGACATTTTCAGAGGTTCCTTTCGGTTTGGGGTTTCGGATCGGGAGGCTTATGCATCAAGTCTAAGGTTTTCAGCCCTGCCGGGGCTATCTCCGCACGGCCAGATTCAGAAGCTGCTGCACGTTTGCCCGGGATTAGGCGCGGAAGCGCTTTTGAACTGCGCTTCGAGGTCTGCGCACTGATCGGCTAACAGCTCTTTCGGAAAGCGATCCTGGCTCCTATGTTTTTTATATATAACAATACACATAAACCCTAAATCCCAAACCCATATAGACTCATATAGACAGGGCGGGCATGGAAGTATTGACAACTGTAGCTGCAGTTCAGGATTCAAGCATCTGGCGTCGCTTCCCGAGGTGTTTTCCAGTTTTCGACCGAGGGTGTTTGCGTCCCACATGAGCTTAGATGCTCCTTAACAGACCCTGCGCAGAAATCGGTGCAAAAATGTTGCCGCAATGTTTGGATGTCTTCGTCCAGCCATGCTTCTGTTCCTCCTACCTTCCTTAATTCCCTATTTCCTGCATTCCTTCATTCCTTCCCTCGCTCCTTCAGTAACCCACTGGTCCATTTCATCTGCTCACGCACGTCATCAGCATCATCATCATCCTCATCATCCACTCACCTTCCCGTCAGCTTCAGCAGCACCTGGCAGTCGCAGCCGGTGTTGCACAGAAAGTCTTAGGTTTGCAGTTGAGAGCAGAGTCCCTGCAGCCAGCTGGAGACCCAGGAGTAGCATCAGGAAATCTTCTTCATGCCGCAGCAGTCCAGGAAGAGGAAGAGCTGAGTCCTTCATATTATGGGGTCATTGAAGTTGTTTACATAAGTGGTGCTAAGAGGGGGAAGCGCCTACAATGCGGCTCGAAGATGAACATGCGGTCGGATGCGATGGGCCCCAAGGCAATGTGACATGACGAGGCCGGCATCATCCAGAGCAGATGTAAAGACTGTGGAGCTTCAGAGTCCCAAATCCCAAATCTTCTTCGGTCCACTTCCTTCGCTTCTTTTCAGCCCGGGTCTGCCTCTTAGACCCCGGTCGTGGCTGGACCCCGCCGTGGGCTTCCGGACAGAAGCAGGCCATGCCCCTAAGTGAAAAGCGCTTGACAACCGGGCAGGTGCGGCGAGCATCGAGGATATTCAGGACGGGAGGTGCGCAGTTGCTTTGCTTATGAGTGCTCCTGTGGCTGCCCCAAACCCAGCTGCAAGCTGCAGAGGATGGCCCGCCACGGCATGACGAGACGTTGATGGCCGTGCTTGCTCCTCAGTCTGTACATCGGAGTCGTCTTTGAGGTGGAGTTCGTTGATAATCGGCCCGCTGAAATCACAACCGGCCCATCTGTAGAAATTCCCTCCCGACCGGAAGTCTTACTGAGGACGCGCCTCGAAGTGCAGGCATGGAAGATGCAGGACAGGGCCGGGGTTCCAAAGGGGATTACAATATATACATACAATAGGGTTCTTGACTTGGTCTTTTTTCCACGTCGTCGTCGTCGTCGTCGTGGTTCAGGAAGGGCGGCCTGCAGAGACCTCCTGTCGGA